TCAAAATATTAGGCTTTAATACCAAAATTGTGAAATTTAATTTTATTAAAAAAGTTGTCGTTAAAATGTAAACATGTGCTTAGTTACATAAATGGACTCCTCCCAAAACTCTTCCATTTATTAGGCGCCGGCGGTCCAAATAAAAAAGGTGAGGTGCGGCCGTGCTCAGCCAATCATTTAAAGACTAAACACGGGAATTGTCCAAACGCGACGTAAACGCGCAATAAATACGATAATTTACCACTTAATCTAATAACTTAATCCGTTCAAATTACCCGTTTATTTGAACGCCATTATCATTTGCTTCGTTACGCGGAATATTGGCGGGATTGGTGGGATGGTCGCGCCATCTTTCGACGGGTAGCGCAGATTGGAATCAACGTTTCCACGCATGTTTGTTGAAACCGCGCCCATCGCGTTCCCCTCCAACGACCGCTGCCATCGACCGGGCCCGTAATGACAGGCCCGTTATTGGTCGACACTGTGCATATGGCATCTGCGTTTTAATATGGCCACTCGCAAGGAAACGCATAAAAAAAACACGCGGGGCGTACCGGTTTGCGCGAGGGGCTCGTTTATGGAAGTTTGACTTGCTTGTGTGCAGCAATGATGGACACGCGGAGGTTTATTTGCTCGTTGACGTAAGTAGTTGGTGGGTTTAATTTAAATTTTCGAGGCATCCCGACATTCCCGCAAAAACATTCTTCTACAACACTGATGTTTTCAATTAAATATCGTCGTAAATCTATTTATCTATGAATATGTTGCAAAGCTATCCAAGCACCTACCAACACTTCCCAATTTTCCAAAACAGCTCGGGTTGCCACTAGTTCAAGTGGCACGCAGAGTTGCCTCAGTTATAACTAGTTTAATTTTAATTTGTACAAGTCTCTGTCGATTAAAAATTGGGAGGATCTTTTAAGGAAGGACTTGGTCGGACAAAACATCGCATTTTTCAAACGTACAGAAATTATAAGCGGCGATAAATAACATTTGTATTCTGTGCTTGTTTGTTCTCGGTTCTCTGTGGAATGACTTTTAAGGCGATAACTTTAGAACAGTCACAGTTAAAATTCTGAAACTTATACTCTACTGGCTATACAACATATTTGAAAATGACGACGCTCTGATCTCGGCAGCCATTTTTTTCTGTTTTCAGTGGCTTTTTGGACATCGCTGTGAAACCAAGGAAGTGTACGAAATTTGAGGTTTAGAGATTCAAGAACAACATCCTATCTTTTGTACCGTCTTTCCATGTTGTACCAAGAATCTACAGGGTGTGTCGATTATGAAAACAATTTAAAATTCAATTCCACTTAGAAAGAAAATAGGGGTGTTTTTCCATTTTATTACTGTGGCCGTGTCGAGGGCCTTAACTCTTGTCTATAAGGTTTTCGCCGAGAGGCACAATCGAACACTTTTGATCTTTGATTCGAAGATGGAAAAAGAAATGTGGGGAGAAGCTATACATGTTGCAGCCTACTTGCTGAACAGAAGGGAGACGATAGAAGTGACACCTGTGGGAAAATCGACAAGTCAAAAACCAGACTTAACAAATTTGCAAATATTTGGCTCTAAAGCATGTGCAAAAATAGTTAATTGGATATTTAAGAAACTTGGATAGCAGAATTAAAAAGTTCAAATTTGTTGGATATGCGTTGAATAGATACCATTCATTTAATGAAAAGGTAAGAAAATAGTTATGTACAGAGGTGTTTTTAAACAGACAGAATAAGAAATTAATAATAAACTAAAATTTTACTCAGAAAATGAAGAACGAGCAAATCATGAAGAAGTAGACAAAAATAGTGAAGAACAAGAAGTAGAACGTAGCCTAAAACAAAAAAATATTGAACCTTTAGGACTTCTCCTAAGGGTTGAATTACAAGACGAAAATAAAAAACAGGTCTGGACGACAAGTAAAATTACCTGAAAAATTGCAAGACTACGATTTGGATATGTGCACAAATACAACTAAAGAAGTTGTGATATTAACTTACGAAGATGCAATAAAATAAATAAAAGAGACAAATGGAAATTGACCATTAATGAGGAAAAGAAATCGTTAGATAAAAATAATACGTGGGTTCTAGTGAACAGCCATGAAGCAGAAAATAGAACACTGTTAACTAGTAAGGATGAAGGATTATACAAAGCCAGGCTAGTGGTTCGGGGATATCAACAACAATATGGTATTGGTTATAAAGACACTTTCAGCCCAGTGTGTAGAATACTTTTTGCACTAGCTGCACAGAATGACTTCATTAAATTCGACATAAAAACCGCACTTCTATATATATATAATCTTAACGAGAAAATTTGTATGTAAATTCGAGAAGGATTTAGATGAACTGAAAACAAGGGCAAAATTTGTTCACTAAAAAATACGCGCTATTGAGATGGAACGAAAAATTGAGTTTTTTTAAAATCTAGTGGACTAATAACACTTAAAAGTGAACAGTGCGTGTTTAAAAATAATAGTAACATTCTCTTTTTAGCAATTGATGTAGATGATGGGATTTTAGTAAGCAATGATAAAGGGGAGATGGAAAAATTACTGCATTCTTGGGAATTGAAATAAAAAAAGCAAGAAATAAAACAAAGAAAATATACCAAGACTGCTTTGAGAGCTTTAAAATGGCAAATGCAAAAACTGTATCTACCTCCTATAATCTATAACTCTAAAAATATGTGAAAAATAAACGTTTCCTTACAGGAAGTCTCTTATATCTGACAGATAAAACCCAGTATGAGTTATCTTTTTCAGTAAATTTCTGTGGAAGAAAAATGGAAAATCCATCAGATTAAGATGCGATTAACGTTAAAAGAATTATTCGATTTCTAAAAGGGAAAGAAAATTATGGAATATGTTACAAGAAGAACCGTGATGAAAATAAACAATCACGTATCAATGATTTTGATTTGGCTGTTGATATTTCCACAAGTAAAAGTACCACCGGTTTGTGATAATGTTTTGTGGTGGACCTATAAGTTGGCTGGTGCTCGCCTAAGCAACCAGTTGTGTCATTATCGACCACTACCGATTGTGTTATATAGTTATATATACAATTATAGATTAACTAATAAACGTGTAAAAGTGGTAAATTCAACAACCAAAGCAAACAATTGATGTTAGATACTGTTTCATCAACGAACGAGTACATGAAGGATGGATGAACTTAAAATTCTGTGAGAGTGATAAACAGTTACCAGACATTCTAACGAGACTATTAAACAATGTAAAATTTAAAACATTAAAATAACAAAAAGCAAAACATGTTATTTAAAAAAATTGTAAACATGTCTTAAAAAAATTAGGAGGTGTTAATAAATAATTTTTTTGTAGATTACAACTTAAAAAGGAAATCTTCATAATTTGTATTTTGTTTTATCGAGTGTTGTGCTAAGTTGTAACAAATTGTTCGTATTGAATAAAAGCAATAAGTTCAGTTTATTTATTAAATTAAAGTAAAAGTATAATTAAAATTGAACATGGAAATCTGTGACTTTAATTTTGGCCATTTTTTCGATTATTTACAGTATCTGTCGGTTATGGACAAAAAGGTAAAAGTCTCTGAAAATTACCTTTGCCTTGGGAAATTATTAGCCTCAAATGAAAAACGTATAATACGGAGCAATTTGATTTAGGTAGTGTATACGCGAGATATTTGACTATAAACTTTTATATTTACCTTGATAGGCTTTGAAATTGGATTGAGTCCATATGCGAAGGTACTTTCTGCACGGTGCACACAAACACAAATTCCATTGATTTTTCGAAAATTACGTAGTGGTCATGTGGAGCACAATAGAAAAAAGCGGCTCCTTTCAAAAAGTGGTTTTTAAATACTGCCATAATCGATTTGCTTACTTAAATTTGAATGATTTGTCAGAATTTTCACAAAAAAATAATTAACAAAACCTATGACGTTGTGAACATCGATTTGCTGTTAAAAATGACCCAAAATACCCATCACATCAGGTATGGTTGAAACGTAGTGGTGGTAGTCTATCATATATTAGGGGAAATGGGTCGAGTATCCATTAAAGGTTATGTGAAACAGAAACAATGATTTGATTAATTATCATTTTTTTAATTCAATTTAGGACTAAGTGCAGAGGATTTTGATAAAATAATATATGAAAATTTTATCACGAACGATAATATTCACGTTTGGTTGACTATAGTCTATTTCATTACGGTGTAGAGTAACAAAAGCTCATTAGGTATACAAAAGATCTGCAGAATGACACAGTGACCTAACAAATACTTGGACTCGGTAGATTTTAACCACGAATGTTATTTTGACGTTTTCCGATTCAGACGTCGTCCAGTGAATTTTCGTTTTACTAGTGACTCAAATGACTCAATGCACACTTATTAAATATTATACTATTAATTAGAATAAGCACGAGCACAGAAGTTATGCTATAACAGACCTCTTATAAAGTCGCTTTAGTAAAATGTCGATAGTAGAATAATCTAACCAACATTAAACTCCGTACATAGTTAATATTAAAATAAATAAATAAAATTAATGTGTAGCTCAATATACCTGTAATAAGCTAATTTAGCAACAAACACTAATCAATATAGTCGAAACCGTTGAATTGATTTAGTTACCATGCTGATAGCATATAATTTCATACTGGTCCTTATAATCAAGGGTTTTATTTGACACGAGCGCAGCGAGAGTCTAATAAACTAAGTACTCACTTTTTCTTTTTTTTAGTTTTGGGGGTACACTTTTTCAAAATCGTACGAATGCATTCACTAAGTGACGTACGACGAGACCATCAGGACTTACAATTGTCAATATACTATCAGTAAGTAAAATCATTTTGCATAGCATTGCAAATGCATTTTATAGATATTTTAAAATATCAGCTAAAATTTTCGGAATACCGTATAATTACAGTACGTACTAACCCATATTATTACATATTCTTTAGGGATCGGGATAAAGAAAAAACAACAATTAGGTGTTATTTAGGTAAAATATATTAGTTTGCTGAAGAAGACAAAGTTACTTAATAAATATGAATTTACCGCTTATTAAGGACATTTTATCAAATTACTAATTGCAATACATTTTTTTTTCTTTTTTAGCGTAAACTGTAAGAAATGGAAAAGTTAAATTTTACAAAAATCAACAAATTTGAGGGGCAAATAAACCTTAAAATTTTGTCTGCAATAGCTGTTTTATTGTACTAAATCTATTATATAGGCAAACCCCAGCTTGAATTAATTATTGTTGGGGAACCGCAACTTTGTTTTTAGCGTTGACGTGCTGGAATCTGGACGGGACGTTCCTTTTAATTCGAAAATTGTCCCAGTGGTAGATGGAAGGATCGTCCGCCATTTCGCCCTCATTTTCCCCGAAGTTGCCGGGAGAAACAAACAATTCTGGTTCGTACTCGTATCGCTCTGCTATTTCTGACCAGTTTGGAACTGAAATTTAATATCGGCTCATTTCATTGAAATGTGTTTTTGAATTGGATATGGCGATTTTTGAAACAAAAACATGAGGCATACCATAAGGGTAAAAATGTAGGGTAAATCCCGTTTTGGTAAAGTTGCTCCATAATATTTCGTTGATAAATTTAAATTATTTCTGCTACTTCCGGAAATATGCAAATGACAGCTTGTCTTTAAAAGCGGTTAAAATTAGTTATTAAGCCTGTATTAAGTGATTTCAACATTCAATTAGACGACCAACCTCAGAAATAGTAGAAGTCGTTTGTACGTTTCAAAACTACTGGGGTTGTGTTATTTCATATTTAGTATATTCTTGATATACTGGTGAATGCACATTAATTATAAAAACCCATAATAACATTATTTATAAGAGAGTTCTCTCAAGCTTTTAATGTTTACGGATGTAACATATTATTCACCAATAGTAACCAAAAATGTAATGTTTTAATCTTTGGTTATCATATTTTTGCTCATAATAACATTATTTCTAAGGGAGTTCTCTCAAGCTTTTAATGTTTACGGATGTAACATATTATTCACCAATAGTAACCAAAAATGTAATGTTTTAATCTTTGGTTATCATATTTTTGGTTTAGATTTTCAATTTTCTGCAACTTCCTAGTCTCATGCTTTTCGAAAAATGTCCGATGTGTTAGTCAAACAATCTAAAATCAATACACAGATAAAATGCGCTTAAAAATTTCATAGTCGATTTCTAGAAAAATAACACAAAAATGTCAGCGCAAACCTATGCAATGTAATACTGCATTTTATAAGAGGATACCAATTGAAATGTGTTTTTAGGATTTACTAAGAAATCAGGAGTTTTTGAAAAATATACCGAAGCAGTAAATTTTACAAAATTGAAAACGTAATCTAACAATATTGTTACAATAAATCAATTTTGAAAAAATATAACACACATATCCTGTATCTCCTAAATTCTACCTAAATTTTAGGAATAGGATTCAGGTGTCTTTTCTAGGAAGTACAATAAATAAAAATCGGTCGGATTTCAAATTGAATGGCAGTAAAATTGTGATTTATTTAAAAATATCTGTCGAATTATGTTATATAAAATGAAACTCAACATCAACAATCAATAATCAACAAGAAGTGCTGAAGGACAGAAAGTTTGAAGAATTTAAAAGTGTATTAATTGAAACCGGCAAGAAAATCGTAACTCAGGCAAAAAAAGAGAAAAGACAGGCATGAATCTCTACAGACAGTTTAAAATTAATGAAAGAATGTCGAAGGGTAAAAGAAAGAATGCATAAAAAAACAGAACGCAGTTGTCTCAAAACTAAAACAAGCAAAAGAGGAGTTCCTTAAAAGCAAACATGAAGAAATAGAAAACTTTAATGTTCACAAAAAAGTAAAAGAACTTGTACGATTGCAGAAAAATTGAGCCTATAATTTAAAACATGTAATAATTTCATGGGGATGAAAGAGATATAAACAGAATAGAAACAGATTATGAAAATTGTAGGTCAGAGATTACTGAACAAGAGGTTAGTAAAGCTGTAAAGCCCATAAAAGATCGAAAAGCTGTGGATACGGACGAGTTACTATTTGAAATTGTAAAAGTTGGCGGAAGAACAGGAAATTCATCATCTTACAAATCTGCGTAGCATTTTATGCAGAACAGGGATATTACTCAAGGAATTGTAGCTATCAACGCTTGGGTAATGCAAAATATTGTACGGACTACCGTACTGTTGCCAACTTACACAACGAAAATGGCACTTAAAGAAGACGTAAAAGTACGGCCTACTGCATTATGTATATTCGCTACAGTGTGTGTAAAAAACATAAAATAATACTTTAACAGAGAAATTTTGCCAACTACTTTCCTAAATTCAGCTGTTTCTACATACTTATGATTCAGTAAACATCTAGATTTTTATGGTTAAAAAAAGTGACTGCTACTTTTTGCTCTTTTTGGACCAAATTGGTCGTGCCTGAAAAATGTGTGTTTTTTTTACATGTGGGCTGTTGTTTCACAGAATCGCATCAAAAAGGTTTATCATTAACAACATTTGAAAAAACTTTCTATAAAAATTCAGAATTATTTTGTTACATCGTACCTTGGCATTATTGTCCGTATTTATTACGTACTTAAAAACTCCTGTGTACCAAATTTCAAAAAAAGGCAATGAAATGCTCTCTGAAATATTTCGCTGTTTAGTAATATTTAATTATTACTAAATATATTATCTATTTTAATTTAAAACGGTTCTAAAAAACAATTTTCATCAGAAATTAATATCAATTAACCAATCTGCGGTTGCAGAAAAATATTATTATAGAAATAATTTTACTTACGTTTAATTTGCCGCGTTGTTCCTTGCCAGTCTTCGTTTCTTGGTGATTCCATATTCTGAAACAGCAATTTATAAAATTGAAGTCACGCAAAGTGTCAATATCTTCTTCGGTGCAAAGTAACAGGTGATGCTATAATTTATATTCAGAATAGTTCTTTTTATCCGATCTCAAGGTTGATTGAAGTAGGTTTAAAATCTACGTTTTACGAGACACTATATGAATAAACTTCAAGGCAAGTAAAATACCAATTCTGCGGATTTTTACATAGACAAAAGTATAGACACTATATGTAGATGTTTAGTAAAATTATTTTTTTAGTTTAGTTATATAAATAACTTATAAATTTGCCTCGCCAAAAAATACGTTTCGAACTGCAGATCTGTCGCTTTAGCCCCAGCCTATAATTTTTTTTATTCGAGAGAAAAAACTAACCAACAAATAAAAAACTACTTAACCTCATTCCTTCTTCCGATCCTCGGCACTGATTTGGATGCTTTCAAAAAGAACTGTTCAAAGTCCGAATTGCCGTTCCTGTGCGGACTCCTACCGATTCGGGGGACGTTCTTGGCGGCAGTAAGGAAAAACGGATTTTCCCCGGCGTGGACGCCGCATAAACAAATAAAAATAGCCAATACCACTCGGCCACCCATTTCCAAGCGATTTTTACGTAGGATTGATAAACCACACGAAACTAATAGCATTTTATATGCTTAAACCATCGAGAAGTTTAATATTCTAGACACGTCGTGTACCAAGTGAAATGAATACCGCCCGTGTGAAATTTGCTGCCCCTATCATGTACACTTTGTGTTTTTGTGATCGGTTTTACTAAACAGTAATCCTACGTATACAGGGCGACCACGCAGGTATGGATGTTGCCCCCCCCCCCCTTAATCATCTGCAATTTTAAAAACCAAAAATAGATTTTTTACTTTCCTGCAAACTCCTTCAGCTCTATGAATGGCATTTGTTTCTACCATACATTTCTACCAAAAGGTGTATTGGCCAACGAGCGCAGACAAAATGACATATACATAAAACAATATAAAACCACAAAACGTGGGATTATGTCAGTTAGCTGCTTGCAAAAGAATATTTTGAATTTCTGAAACATCGCTGCATATTCTGCGTGCGCCCAGCTTTTACGTTGTTACCACCTAAACCATGTTTCTCTTTTCTCTTCATTTCGATGGATCATGTTGTTCTTCATGACTGCTATTTGTTTAAAAATCGTTTTCCTCATTTTATGTTGATTTTTTTTAATTCGCTTTTCTGCCGTCGGTGATAATTAAGTATTATTTTTCACATTTCTCTTTGGTTTTCTTTTTTATTTTTCTATTATCGAAGGTTTGCTACGTCTAGAAGCTCTTTTGTGTTACTCTGAGGCAAGGTTGATAGTTCTTGTAGAATTTCACGACTTCACTGGTATGAGTGCTTGTTAAAGCGCATACTTGATTTTTACTTACAACTTACGTGGAGCCTGAACGGTTAATTTTTCAAAGAAACCTCCACAGGCTGTGGAACTTGTAGGTACACATCTTCTGAATTTCTCCTGCGTTGGCTGTTGACTCTGTATTGCGGACGTTTCGCCAAACATGCTGCTGACTTTTCCAGACAGCGCTCTGAAGAAATCAGTCAGAGCCAACAACCGACGTAGGAGAACTCCAGAAGATGTGTACTCACAAACCTGAACGGTTGTTACAGCAGACTTGTCTTTGTTGAATATCATCATTGTATTTTCAATTTTATGTTTTTAACTAATTTGCTCTAATTTATTAAAAAAAGAATCTACCTATGACCGATTAAACGCCTCAGCTCGAGCAAGTGATGTGGACCTCTAGAAGTGGGGCAGTTATTTCAGGATTGCGCTGTCGAAAACCACATTATCAAATCATTTTTTCAGCGGGGCCTAAAGCTAACTGGCGTAAATTAAAAAAAAAAAAGTTTAAAAATATAGTTGACTAGTGCAACTGCCATACTTTAACTTAAAACTGACTTTAAGGCAGCAATTATCTATTTCTGCAGTAGATGTTATAGGACTTCACCGTCCACAAGACATGTCCACGTCATAATCAAAATAAAATTTTATAGATTTAATAGTCGTATGTTGTTCCTGTCCCATTTTCTACAAACGCTGGTGTAAAATTATGGTAAGATTTGCCGGCTACCCGTTAAGCGCAATAGGTGGAGTATATGTATAAAATATCTGTTAGTGTGGACTTTTGTTGATATCGAAGTACCTAATTTAAATGATTTAAGGTTTATTGTATGAACTGCTGACCTGCAGATGTTCATACGTTTTTAAGTGGTGTTTTGATTAGGCGGCGATGCGAGCTGGTAAAAATTACGCACATTTACTGATTACGCCATCTTTTCGATGCACAATGCGAGGAGACGCGATCTTCATTAGTCAAATTAGAGTTTTTTTTCAGATTGTTATCCAGATAGTACACGACATCTATCGAATAAGTCCATACAGTATCCATGGAGGCAAAGAAATGCTCTGTACTATCACTCAATGGACAATAATTTTTGTACAACTTTTAGACATCCAGTAACGCATACCTTTTGGATATCCAGCAAATAATCAACTGTTGAACTGAAGATTATTGTCACATCAAAATATACAAATTGAAGTCAGATATTATTCTATATTTATAATAATTTTTGAAAACAGGTGTCATATGAAGTGACCTTCTAGAATTAACATGCAAGCACAGAAAAAGAAGAATGGTCACTAACCAAAAATTAAATTTCATATGCTTTGGTTAAATCTTAATATCATAATCAAACACTTCTCGTTGTGCCATTTTATGCGTTTGTATTAAGTATCCATTACTAGTATGGTTCAAAAAATTTAATATTTGAATATTTCTATCTTCAATATTTCTTCAAAGAACCTTTTTTGCATTCAAATGAAATTTGCTTGTGTTCCTGTTGAAGAATAAAAGGATTCAACAACGCAATTGCTTCGTTGAAAGTTCTTAAACGGTTCTAAAAAACGGTCCTAAAAAGTGTATCATTATTCAGAAGTACTAATAAATCAAAAAAGGCATAAAAGTAACGGCAACCCTTAAATAGCAAAATGTCGAAAAGATACACCGAAAGATTAAACGACCAGTCTCAAATAATACAATTTATGAGTCTTTATAAATCTCAACACTTCCACTTATTTTGAATGGGATAAAAATTTTTACTAAAGGCTTCGTAAAAATATCGGCGAGCTGACTTTTTATAGAGATATACTCTAATTCAACGAATTTTCTATTTACAGTATCTCTTACAAAGTGATATCCTACCTCCTATATGCGTAGAGCGCTTATGATGCTCTGAGTGACTTGTCAATGTAATTTCTGCCTTGTTCTCTACAAATATTTTATATTTACATTAAAATATAATAAAAATTGGCACAACCAAACTGCTTCTTTCACGCTGTGTGACTCTGATAGTGATACTACGCTGACTAGACCAAGAAATTGGTCCCCTTTAAAACGAAAACGAAACCACTTCTTTTCCAATGTCTAAACAACCTGCTTAATCTGCGTCAGTAAAGCTCTGTAACAGATTTAAAGTCCCACTGTTGTGAAAAGTTATACCAAAATTAACGGTTTCTCCTAAGTAACGCAAAATTTTCTTTACAAATTGCCAATGCTTATTTGTTTAACAAACCAAAAATTGGCTGGCATAATTAACAGTCGAGTGACTCTCGTAACAGACAACAATGATCCAACAGACTCACGATATGGAACATTTCTGTTACTTCGATTATTTCCTTGATTGTTTTTATATAGATATACACCTGGCTCAGTTGGCACGCTAGGAACATTTGCTTCTTGCAAATTCAACTTACTAATTAATTGATTTACATGTCCTACTTCCTTAATAGTTGCTACTTTTTGCTTGCGATTACGTGCAATTTCTAAACCTACAAAATCACACCCACTGTCTACGGTAATTTTAAAATTACTCTCGAGAAAACTCAAAACTTGTTCCATCGCATCCATACATCAACATAGAGCGCCAAATATATTGTCAAATCACGCACTTGTCACTTTCACAATGTTTGATGTTAAGTGCTGTTAAAAAGTTGCTAAAGTTTTCCTTCTAGAGCCGTGGGGACTGCTTTAATTCGTAGAGGCTTCTTTCCAGCTTGCAGACAGCATGCGGATTGCCATTGCTCACGTACCTTTTATGCTGTTCCAGGTAAATCTCCTGAAATTCGCCGCATAGAAACATTGTCTTTAGGTCGCACTTCATTAGCTGGTAGTCTCTAGTAGCGGCGATTGCTAATAATGGTTTAATTGATCTATATCTTACGACTGCTGCATACGTCTCAAAATAGTCCATACCTTCACGTTGAGAAGATCCTTTTGCAACGAGTCTTGCTTTGCATCTTCAGGCATTTCCTGCAGGGTCTGTTTTCAGAGCAAAATCCCATCTGCAGCCAATTACACCTTTACCCTGTGGAAGCTCAGAGAGGATGATTTTATTTATTTATTTATTTACATACACTGCTCAACAGGATCAAACCCAATTATAGAGCAGGAAAACACCAACTACATTTAATCAGAACTACAAAATTATTTACAAAGTATAAACACCACCACACAAATACACTAATATTGCAAAAAAAGATGATCCGCAACAAAATGAACATAAGAAAAAAACTAATGAAGGAAATTACTCAACTGCGAAGGCAACGAAATTGCAAGAAGACTAGGCACAACAGAATTTTAACCTAATGCTACTCAAAATGCAATTAAAAATGTCTAAATCGCTGGTACGGTGGTATACGTTGCACATATTATATAAGGGAGAGAACTTCAAGACATTAGTCCTCGCGGTGGGAAGGTAAAAGGTAGCAGAGTATCGCGATGCTAACCGCGGAACCATGAAATTCAGCTGCTCAAGTAAGTCAGGACAATTTACCGAATTATGAATCAGCTTGTATAACAGAACTTGTGACAAATACTCGCATCTGGTCTGAGTCCATCGAAAACAAATTCAGCAACTCAATCTAAGGAACACGCTGTTCAGGATAAGATCCATGAGTTTTATAATACATATATTTTAGAAATCGCCTTTGAATGGACTCCAAGTTCTGCGAACAAACGCTGTAACTAGGCGACCAGACGGAGAGGCATATTCTAACTTCGAGCGAATAAAAGCGGTAAATAAAAGCTTTATCGAGTTATGTGAAGCAAAATCCCTACCGCATCTGACCAAAAAACCTGAAGTTTTAGATGAGCTTGCCACTATTGACTCGATGTGATCGACAAACGACAACTTTTTATCGAATATTACACCTAGGTCGCGCACTAAGTCCGGTCTAGCAAAAGATGTTGAGCCAATGCTGTAGTCAAAGAGAATTGGGGACGATTTCAAAGAGTAAGTCATGACACTACATTTGTTAATGTTAAGAGGCATCATGTTGTTGTTACACCACGGATTTAGAAATGCGGCTGGACTGAAGACCGAGCTTAAATAACCGCTGAAGTGGCTTGGCGAGTACATAAGCGCGGTCCTTTAAAAGCAGTAATGGTATGAGATCTGGCCTGATTTTCATTAAGGGCCTCCACTTCTTCCATGATTTTTCTCCATTCCCCCGCATTTTTGCTATTCAAGGCCTCGTTGCAATTTGAAGGTACTATGTCGGCTAAAAAAGCAACTATAATACCAAAACGAACAGGGGCTCGTACTACGCTGCGATCACGTAGCATTCTACCTTCATTTGGCAATTCCTGATCAGATGGCGGCGGTATAGTACGATGTGCATCACCTGCGTCTTCTTGAATGTTAAAGTCTAAAGTTTATTGTTGCGCAGGTCACACACGTTAACTTGCTTATATCTATTTTTTACAGCGCGAATATTTACGTGCACCATTCCCTCATGCGAAAGCTCTCACTTATCTATCTGTGCATCACCTTTAACTTGAGCAACCTTGCTTTCTTCTGGAACTATTACTTCGAGCAACATACGATATAGGTTTCTTATACCGAACTCCGACTGACGATAGCTTACCGTCACCGTCGCGAATTTCACATTTTTCTTTATAACCTTGTAAAGAAAAGTGTTTGTTGGTAATATTTCGAATAAAAAAAGATTGCTGTTTAAATACGGCACAAATAGGGGGTGATTTACTTTTTCCTGGATTGTTGGTTGCTTTTGTTAATGGTTCCAGTCTTGTGAGGTATTTCTCATTAAAAGTCATGTGCGTGCTGCACCTGAATCTGCAATGCAAACTTCGCGGTCATCATCAGAGGTTAAGGAATAGGATGCAGTGACGACAGAACACTCGAGAACCCAATATACTTTTTCTTTACAAAAAGCGCATTTTGTTCTCTTCTGGAGCTTATTAATCTCCTGTTGCTTTTGCTCTTTCTTGGTGGCCCCTTTGCTAATAACGGTCTTTTGGACATGAAAAGCAAGTGCAGTCACACTTTCCTCGCTCTCGCATGACCGCTTATCTTCTTTAATGAGCTATTAGGTAACCTTAATCCGTTCAGCTTCCGGCGTGCAATCCCAGGCTATTATAAAAACTGAGAATTTGGTTGGCAACCTGCTAAGTATTTTTGACACAATCGCTGATTCGGAAGTTATTTCTTCAGACTCCTGAAGCCTTTTACATATACTCTCCAATTTCTCAACTTGAAGAGCGACCGATTCTCCAACAGCCATTTTGAATGCGTAGAATTACTCCCACGCATTTTGCTTAGTATTAACGGATGTATCTCTGTAAAATACTTTCAATTTTTCCAAAATTTCTGGTGACGAAATACATTGATTAAATTTGGGTGCAATTTTTTTTCTAGCGAGCTAAGAAGATTACCGCAGCTTGCGATGACTTCTTCATTCATATCTACCACGCGTTTGCTTTTGTTTCCTTGTCGCGCACGTCTTCAGTCCCAATTACAACACCTGTGAGCTCTTTTGCTGGTAGCAAAAACGTTATCCCAAATTTACACATAGAATAATCTGACCCACCAAGAACGCGTAAAGGACTACCGACTTCAAAGACAACAACAAAGCGAACACAGGGTACAAAAAAACGCGCGTGACGCAATTTTTTCTCTTCAAATTATTTTAACAAAACTTTACACTAAGGCGCAGTGGAAGCGTGCTGGGCCCATAACCTGTTGAAGTTTTTATTGTTTGGAATAAAAAGATTCAACACGGTTAAAAAAATCTCAGTGCAGTTTATTAAAATAAAATTAATGAAAAATATAATACGGTAAATAAATGCAGATCAGCGCAACAACAAAGTTGCTTCGTTGAGAGTTCTTAAGCAACTACCTAAACAACCTTCCTAAAAATTGCATCATATATATAAAGTGGCAATGATGATTTTTGGAAAAATTTCTTACAGATGAAAATAACTACAATATATTTGGCCCCAATAGCAAGTAAATCAAGAAATGAAACCGTAAAACTTAGTACCTGCAATAAAGCATGAAGGCGGGAATGTTATGGTTTGGAGCTGTATGGCAACGGCTGCGGTGGGCAAATTGGGTTTTATTGAAAATACAATGGTCACCGACAGTACTAGAATATTTTGCCTGAAAATCTGCAGCCCCCAACTCAACAATTGGGTTTAGGACCACAATGCATTTTGCTTGGGCTGAAATTACTGCAAGCATAACTGAAAACTTAGTTTTATTTTATCCATGCCGAGAAGACTCCAGGCGGTTATAGATTTAGAAAGCGGTTTGGGGCTTGTGTAACCCATGACCGGGTAAACGCAGAGATTCCAATGAAATAACTGATATGTCGAGACGGAATACGGAAAAACTTAAATAAAAAACATGTCGAGTTAAGACCTTACACACGTAAGCGACCGCGCACAGATCACTTCCATCTAACCTAAGTCACAGAGTATAAATTTAATATAAATGGTCATAGACTAGTGGTTATTTTTCATATTCATATCATGAACGATTCATCATTTATATTGACAGACTTTTCTGAGTTATCGTTTTTTTTTTATTTTAATTTTCTTTTTGTAAATTCGATTATGTTTTTAAAAATTGTAATTATTATATTTATAGTGTTATATAAAATAAATTATTGCAAAAGGAAACTTGGCTTTAAAGTAATGAATATTTTAAAGGTCTATGTAGATTTGGACCTTGTACGTCGAATATCTTAGGGACATAAGATCTTGCATTTATATTTTTTAGTTAGAGGCAGAGCACGCGAAAGGGATTTCAATTCACTTATCCTTATGTGACGAGCACGCAAACATAATTTGATTGTAATTTACAATTCTTGATTTAAAATGAAACTGGAATAAAGCCATAATCCGCCAATGATGTCCCTTTAATAGTTCTGCAATAACCCATTTGTACACTAAAGAGAACGAAATGGCGCATCTAACCTCTAGAATTTAAATGACTCGTAAACAAAGCAAGTCACAAAAAATAGTTTCAATGTGCTCCAAAAAATTGTATGAATAGAATCTTTGATTGTTGTTAAAATATGGGCCGTGCTTCCGCAGAGTCGCCACGATGTTCAGTCGTCCCGCAGTATGTACCAACCCAAATCAAATTACACACATTTGTGGAAGAAGTCGCGGGACAACATATACTCTTCCAGGTAGTCAAAATGAGAGACACGTTGATGATTTATATCAACGAGAAGGAAAAGCTGTGTTGTAGTGATATAGTTTTATCGCTAAAGACTCCATATGATAGCACACCTCAAAGTACTACGCTGTTAGGTAATGATGCAGAACAGCATTCCGCCAATGTAGCTAGTAGAATTTGCAAGAAATTGAATAAAGCCGTGTACTTAAGTTTAAACGTCGATGATCGGCGGTTGCTGCTGCCACTTATTGAAAAAAGGTTATTTCAAGAAATCAGTGCGCAGCCGGACATGTTTTAAATAGAACCAAGCAAGGAAGGAGTTATTTCTTTATTGATTTAGATTATATTTGAATACGAAATTATATTAAACTTCAATAACTAAGATTGGTCTTAATTTAATTTTGTAAATTTGGCAACAGTAACAGGAAAACACATATTAACGAACTGTATAGAAATTTATTTAAACTAAAACACATTCTCTTTCTCGCAGCTGAACAAAAATACTGTTCTTCGAGTATGGCGGGAAACGAGACACTAATACTTCAAAAATTTAAATTGAAATTCTTCAAAAAGAAACTTAAAAGTTTTAAAACTGTCACAGAAAAGTATGGGGTGGGACACAAACTTACATATCTCAACAGTGAAGTGTATTATTTGAAGTAAATATGGTTTTAAAAATATTAAAACAAAAACAAAAAGGTTGAAATTATTCCAAATGACGCCTGTAATAACTAAGGTAAGGACAATGGTACTACGTAAGAAACTTACTGCTCCTAATTCCAGTTATTGTTTTTACCAAATTATTGTTAATCTATATTTGAATACTTAGCAACTTTTTGATATTAATAATTACCCCCCAGGTAATATGTTTTCACTTAAATTGCATAATTCGATTCAAGTTGACAGATTTTAACTAAAAAAAAAGATTTAGAATAATTTTTTGGGTGGTATCATTTGAAAGTCAAGTTTTTATTTTGCATTTAGATTTTTCTGTCTTTTAAATCTAATTAACTTGATTAGTGTAGAATATAATCACGTAGTTCACCTGGTTTCTGACTAGTATACTGACACAACTTCAAGCTCAATAATGAAAGTCTTCAATTCTAGATCTGGTGCATAATTTCATCCCTGTTCTAAAATGAGAACAAAGGATTTGTTCAGTGTTGCAAATACTTTTAGAGTTAAGTTGCTAGAGGCGGTCAAAATTTGAACAATCTCATGTCCCACCCCGCGCATACGCCCAACCCACTCCTTTTCACGATATCGTCAATTGTCGCTCACGCCGTTTGCGAGCATGTCAGGTTTCCGACATACGAAGAACACGCTGTCGTACTCGTATTGGAGCATTGAGAATGGATTTTGACAGTATTTGGTCTTCACTCCCGTGCGGTACTTCACCATATCGAATCCGACCTTATTGATAACGTCGCAAAGCACTTGGAAACTCGGTTCGATACTCTTCTCGTTCCGCACATCTGAGTAGTGGTAGAGCAGGGGCCCGAGGTTGATCCAGAGGCCTCCGGGCTTTAGGATGTCGTAGATCGTTTCAATGAACTGCACTACGTTTGGTGCACAGTCAATGAAGAAACACGTGGCTACGCAGTGCCACTCGTTGCCTGCAGTGTAGACCTCGAGGAAGTCACCAGCAGTCATCGAGAAGTTACCGCGGGGCGTAGTCGGCTTGATATCGGGAAACCTGGGGCAGCAACGTAATACATAATCGAACATTGACTTGATAATATGGTACACGGGCTTTCTCACCGTTAGCTGATAACCATGAATAATTGTAAATTCGGGAAATTGTCGTTCCACTTCAACGTTACAAAACATTAATACGAAATCAAACAAATTCTGCTCTCGACTTTTTTTTAATAGACAACCAAACGCGAAATTACACAACAATTATTCTATCGTTTTTTCAATTCAAATGTTTTAATAAATTGGATTATTCGGAACATTATGCGGAGTTATTCACGCAATGCTATTACTTAGCAGCAGATTTCAACCGTTGAGTTCGATGATATTCTTCGTTTCGTTGCTTTTACCTCTGTGTATCGTAATAGATCTCTCTACATGTATTCAACTCCTTTAAGTTTTCAATTATTTTATCCTAAACAAAGATAAACACAGGACTAGGACAAAATGGGAATTTAAGTTTTAAATGTTAACCGCAGTAGGACATAAACATTTTACTATAAATGTAAAACCCACATAATTTTTTTTTATGGGAAAACAACTACTAGTTAAGGGTTAACACCGATAAATTAATATACAGGACTAATAGTGCGGCCAAGTGCTACTTCCCGTTATTTATTAGTAAATATTGCATCAGATCGAAAACATTAAAGAAATATATTTAATTATGCAGGGTGTTTCATGAAAGCCTGGCAATACAAAAATGTATATTTTTAAAATCATTTTTGGTACGTTTTTTTAGATTTTTATAAGATGTTGTCAAAATATTGAAAAAGGATAAAATATTAAAAAGAATATATATTCCAATGATCTCCTATAGCTTGCAACCTGCTGCTTTTATAATATTTAAAATGAAACTTAACAGTCTTAATCTTGAAACTTGGCAAATCATTATTACATACAGAGAATTTCGGCCCAACTATTTTTTCTCTCATCAAGAACACCCTTTTTTCAAAGTAAAATCTGTTCACTTATTGCTACCTAGTGATAGTAATATAATAAACTAAATACGAAAATTTCATTAATTCTTGTTTAAATTAAGTAATACTAAACGCACTTAAAAATTTTATCTAAAAATACGGAAAAGTCAATAATAATGCTAACACGTTCTTAAATCCATAGTTCAACAGTTCCCCCGGAAGCATAACTCCAATTTCGACACATTTCCACGCGCACATCTTCAAAAAGTCATATAGTAAGAACAAAAAGCAAAAAGTGTATTAAATTTAAAATATAATTACCACTTATTTTATATTAAGGGCTCACAATACACCGACAGGTTAATTTATTCTTGTAAATTATTCATAAAAATGAATACTATTTACAAATCTTCTAGATTCCTCCTGCTTCGGTTGTCGAAGAATCCAACTTGCTGACGTTTCGCCACTCATCCCGTTAAGCTCTAGAAAAGCCAAAAGAATGAGTGATGTGATGTCAGCAAGTTCGATTCATAAACAACCGATGCAGGAGGAATCCAGCAGATTTGTAAATAGTACTACAGTAGCCTGTGGAATTTTCTTTGAAAAATTAACATAAGAACGAATATTAAGGAGAAACTGTAGAATCGATAAGAATGAAGAAAGAAAAAAAAGAAACAAAAGTGGTAGAACGGTGAATACCATAAATTAATTTGCAGAGAAAAATAGTTTCGATTTCGTAAACTTTCGTAATATGCAAAATTATATAAGGTGCTCTATTAAAAAAAAGTTCTAATGTATATCTTTTTATTTTATGCAACATTTATTAAAACGTTTTTTTTTTAAATATATATTAAAGTATTGTACCGTCGTGTAGATAGAAACAAACATAAAAGAACACGCATTTCATGAGATAAGAAATTGAATATCCCAAAGATGATATAACTTTCTATAAAACGGGAAGTGACATATAACTGAAAATATTTTTCAATGAAAGGAGATATAAAAATTTTAATTTATAATACACACTACAACGTTTTTCATATTATTTACGTAATTAATTTTTTTCATAAGTTCATAACGAACTGTCTCCTCTTTTTCTTGCATTTTTACTCACCTAATAAATAAATAATACAATAACACACATTTACATTTGGAACCTATGATTTACCCTGTCGAAGTTGTATTAACCTTCTCGGAGAAGTTTTTAAAGGCGGCTCCCCGACCCCGTTTCCACAATTCCCAAGTCTCTCTGTTCAAAATAATATAAAATACGAACATCACGAAACCTTGCAGGGAGACAGCCGTACTAAAGATATAGACGAGCACCATCTTCAACCAGTATATCCCGACCAAATTGGAGATCAATCCGAAGAGCCACGGCAACCCCAGCACGAAAAACAACAAAACTGCGAGCCTGAAGTTGAGTTTGTTAGATCGGGACTGTGACGAAGAAGACTCGAACTTGTTGTTTGTAATTTCACACATTATTTTACCGAATATGCAGGTGTTGATCACGGCAATTATAAGAATGGGCAGAAATATGCCCAAATACAGCGGCAACCCAGTCGGGAAGCAGAAGTTCTCGTCCTCGTATACGTCGATGTTGATCAGACCGACACAGAGCACCGGAACGAGACCAAAACCCCAACCGAAACCGATCGATTTCGCTACCAAGTAGCTGGGCATGGGACCTAACACCCTAACGAATCTCAAATACTGACAGAACGCGTAGATCAGCATCCACGCAAATTTGCTGAGCATCACGTATTGGGTCGTCATACCGGCGATCCGACAACTCAGCAACTTGATGCCGCTAAAGTATAAAAAAAAGATCTCCAACAGGGTGGCCAGAGATAAATGGATCAGGATTTGGGAACCGATTTTTTCGCGCCAGCTGTCGAACCGGATAGCGGTAATGAAGATACCGAAGATACCCAGAGTACTAAGAAAGCAACCCACGCCGCTGAGGATGTTCAGGATCTTGGTGTCGGTAATAGTAAGCACCTCCGTCGACCTCTCCAGAACGAGCATACCCAAATGGGTCAGGTGCGTGAACGAGCACACCTGTAGCTGACTGTGGTTTCTCCAGCTACCAAGGTGGTTGCTTCCGGTGCCCGACCACCGGCCTTTCTTTTTCTGGAAGCTATTACCATAATCCCAAAACGCACACGAGAGGTTACCGCTTGAATTCGCATTGACACCGATCAGAAGCTGAATGGGACTCGGCAAATACGTCTCGTAATTTTGTATGTTTATATTGGCTATGGTACCAGCGGTCTCGTTGGAATCGCTCACGAAGAACTTATCGTTCAAGTAGATGGTAGTGGTAACGGACGCGTTCGTGAGGTTGTGCTTCTGAAGGTCCTCGAGGATTTGCACTGGGATGTAGGAAGCGAGCTTCACGTTGTCGATATCAGTCAGAGCGTCGAAGGTCTGACCGAAGGGGATGTAAGCGAACGAATTATTTCGGTACAGGGCGAACCCGCAAACTTGGCTGGAGAACGGCTTGAACGAGTGCACGAGGACGTTGTTCTTGACGAAGGTCGCCACGTTTACGCCCACGATATCGTCCAAAAAGATGGAGATGTTTTCGGCCGCGTGCAGAAACTCGTCGGTCAAGTTGAACGACATTTGGGCGTTCGCCAACGTAGCGGCCTCCACGTTCAGCAAGCCGTCGACGACGTCCAGCGTGCCATCCAGGATGGTGTTGGTTTTCAAGGACGTGGACGACACGTTATCTAATATTTGCGAAACGTAATACAAATCCACAAGGGATAAATTTCCGTGACGCGTCACGGCGCTGACGTTTCTCAGTACTCCCTCGCAGATGGTTTCGTTGAGGGCGGCGAGCAACACGTCCGTGGTCGGAGTGGTGGCCGTGGACGCGCACTCTCCGAACACCGCCGACCAAAAAGCCCCGTAAAAGAAATCGCCGTAACAGGACCGATACACCGGCCAGCCGTCGCCTTGTACGCAGTACTCTGTGGGAATTGTGCATTCGTCCCACCGCGTCCGCGGCCAAGATAAGTCTTTGTTGCGCTCCGGGAGGCACCATTCGCTGCTCCTCAAGTATACGATTTTTATGAACGCGGGCACTCCGTGGAGGATATGCGACAAAGTGGCGTAGTCCGCTGTCACGGATGAGCCGGGCGGGGTGCTCACGTGGATCAAAAGCTCGACGTCGTCGTCGTAACTGAATATTTCCATCACCCTCACTTTATAAATCGGATCGTCGATGAAGCCCGCGACAAAATTGTCATAGGGAACCGCCATGTCATCTCCCAGGGTGCAATCGTAATGGTCGCAAACGCTTTCGATCGCGAGTCTCACGGAGAACTCGTTGCCCTTGTCTTTCTTGTAAGCGAGCACCGTGTTCGAGCGAACCATCCGGAATTCGTCCAACGCCAACGTGTGGACCGTGCACCAGTAATTTCCTACGTAGTCCTCCAAGTCCACGTCGTAAACGAGAATTCCGCCTTCGTCAAACGAAGGTACCACCTCCATTACGCTCACGTCCACCCGCTTTTTAAGCTCATCGCCGGCGTCGGTGAAACAGTATACCATGTCGGGTCTGCCACCACCCACTACACACTGCGGCGAATACAGCAGCAAGTACAGCTTGCGCCATTTGTCGTTGAATTTCAAAATCATACTGACGTCTGGGCAGTGCGTGCGAGGCGATTCAGCACACAGTGCGCAATCGAAGTCATCGCTCGAATAGAACCACGCGCGGTTGTTGATGACCTCGCGGTACTCGCCGATGACGCCACCCAAATAACACGGTTTACGGTCCACCATCGACTGAATGAGTACCATTTCGGAGGGCATCGTAATAATCGCGTAGTTGTCGCAGAATGTGCGCCCTCTTTTGCAGAAACAGGTGCGCGAGTGCAACGAAAATACACACTTGTTTGGACACAGGGCGTCCTTGAGCCTATCGCTTTGGTAGAGGCAACTGATTTGGTGGCGAGAGCTGCACGTTTCCGGATAGATGTGGTTCGAGACCGTGTCCAACACCAGACAGTTTTTTCGAAGTCCATCTTCGGGATTAATGATATTCACATGGTTGATGGGGCGGCCGTACCCGGAACCAAACGTCGTAGACTCGAAAGATCCGAAGCTGAGGGACCTCTTGTATGGCAACCAGGTGGTCGTAGCGTTCAAGGTAGTCGAACTTCCACTGACCGGTAACGAGCATTCACTCCACGGTTTCGGTGGGGTAACGAAGCAGCAGTCGTCCGAGCAGGGCAGCATCCAAGAAGGGCACTGCGAGTCGCGGTCAAGGTAGCGGGAACAGGTCCAGTTGTCTGGCGGATACCAACTGTGGTTCAGGCAAATCCTGGTGAGCAGTTTGTCACTGTCGTCGAGGCAGGGCGGAGTAGATAGGACGACCTCGTGCTGACTGCGCAAGTTGCTGCGGGTGGCCCACCTAGTGGCGTTGGTGTTTTCGGTTTGGCATTGCTGTGTGAGTTCGGACGTGTATGAGAATAGAAACTTGTACCGCACCGTCCCGACAATTTTTGGAAATATGTTGAAAATATTATTGTGTGTACTGCAAAACTATATTATTCAGAAAAACTTTTTCATTGAAGTTTTCCAAGCCTTTGACAAAAAAGGATAATACAAATATCCAGTAATCTCTGAAACTGATGTGACAACACCGAAAATTTGTACCAACTTTACCCTCTTTCCCCATTTCTCCGGTCTTTGCTCTCTCTTCTCTGTCCCTGTTATCACTCCCTCCATTTTTCCTCTCAAACTTCTTCCCCTCCTCTTCGTCAACTCCTCCTATTACGCTTGTTACGAACTTTTTAAGAATATGTAACACATATTTCTTTATTTTTTTAATGAGTAGGCCATGGAAAAAAGATATACCTCCTCTTCCTTCTGTTAACTCACAATATGACAATTATGAGAAATTCTATATATGTGCATTGAATATTAAAGGCAAATATTAAAAATTGTATTTGAAATAATTATGAGTTTAAAAAAAAACAAAAGTTTAGTTTATGTGTCAAAATTTGCGAGTTTTAGAGAAAAACTTACTAGAAGTAAACGTTTTTCTATTGTAAAAATGCTTTTCTGATGAGCACTGAAATGGCATCTATTATTTACTTCCGTTCTTTGATAAATTATTTTAAATCTTGTCCAATCATGTCCTGTAACTAAGTTTTTTACATGAAAGTTTTTAAATTTGTTTAATTTCTAAACATACAACAAATTTTATTTAAAATATTTGCTGAAAAATATCCAGACGAACAACCTGCACGAAGCAATGTTTTGAACGAATAACGGAAATAATAGCAAGTTTTAGGACCGTTAGTGAAAGAACATTTTTATAAAAAATCGTATTTTAATATATTTTTTCTAAATGTTGCAACTAACCAACCTTTTATCTTTTTCATTTACTATTGGTATTTTTCCATTATTGATTTAAGACCATTTTTTTGTATTAAAATAACCATAATAATAAAAAAACAACTTAGTTAGGTTGCTGTCACTGTCACAGCAAGCACACGCTTCTGTAGTATTCGGGTGTTTCTTTCCCCCTGGTTAGTCATCATAGCGTTTTTACAATAAAAAAACGTTTTATTGCTGTAAACACTCCAAAAATATTTGTTATGATGTTGCCAATATAAACTTCCGAAAACAAAGTCGATCCGCAACTTTTTCATTTTTGCTACCACTGCGACTATCTATTCCAAAAATTATCCGGGACGTCTCGGGAGTTTTACCTGCTGGGAGTGTCGCGACGATTGCAAAACGAGGGCCGTGGTGAAAAACGTGAGACACAGCCGGCACATCGTACGCACTGCGAGAAGTTCGTCACCGTTCAATCCGTAATACACGTACGCCCGATTTATTGTCGTATTTAAATTACACACACACTTTCTCCCGCAGAATAAATAAGAGATACGCGCGCGTGCGGGGTGTCTCTGAAAATTACGCGGTCCATGATACCGCGCATAATGCCGGATAGATCTAGACGTATATACGCTGCTATTTACCCGATTTATTTGTTTGGCGTAACATATCTTTTGTTTATCGTTGCGGGAATGATAATGCTAGGTAATCGTTGACGACAACGCACATTCTCGCGCCATAACGTTAAAGAAAGAAGGGTGGAGCGCACTGAATAAATAAGTTCTATTGCAATAACGCAAAATTTAATTCCAATGGACTCTGCGTTATTTTCTATGTAAATGAAAAAATCTTCAATTTTGTTGTGCATTTGTCCGGCTCTCGAGACGTATATTATTAATTTTTGGTGAATTTGTTATACTAGATTCAAAATAAATATCATTTTGTAGCAAATATTTTTGAATTTCAGTTGACATGAGTTTGGTGCTTTATGCAGCAGGAGGCGTATCTTGCGTTATTCATTCAACAAAAAAAAAATCAAATCGTTTTGACAAAGTTCTGCACTTGTATCTTCATGGCAGTACAAGCAAGAGTCCTTAATATTCTTCGCAAACAGCAAGTAGTTTGGAATAATTCCTCTTCTGATCCAGCTTGAATTATGGTGATGCGTTTTCCATTATTTGAAATTGCTTTTATATGATGGTTTTTACTGGAATGTATATCGTTAAGTTTAATCAATGTCAATCAATCCATATGTTGTCCGGTCTATACGTTTTAATTTCCTATTTTGCGGTAATTAAATTCCATTTTACAAATAAATCGATGGAGGGTGGCACGTTTTAGTTTATCCAAAGTAATAACAATGTGGTTTTGATATTTCACTTCACTATTGTCCAGACGGTGACATTGGAGATCACTAATTTCCCTGTTTTTTAATAGGAATTTTTAAAAAAACGTAATTTAAAATTAAATATTTAAACACATTTAACCAACCTGCCCACAATATTTCTATTTCGAAGAACGCCACAGGTATTTTGAATAATAACTAATGCCAAATAACACAATAAAAGAGAACTATTTAGCAATAGTAAAAAGAGAAATAAGTACAAGAATAGTATCTTGCCAAGAATTTTGGAACGCTAATCTAAACAATACAAAAAACTATTAAATTAACAACTACCCTCTGAGTATCGTTGACAAACGTTTATTCAATAACACAATTTAAACTAACCCAAGCTAATAACTTAAAAATTAACATAAAAAAATTGCTTTAAAATGTGAAATCACGGTTCAACTATTATTTACCAGAAATAAAGTTAAAACTCCCTTCGAATTAGACTAAATTTAGTTTGTATAATTGTATGTTTTCGAACAATTAAAAATAACTTTTATACAACATGAAGGAATACCGACCAACAAATAACTAAAAAGTGTATCTATTTCATGTCAAGAATCAATCTTGTATCTATTATGGACATATTTTTTTCATTTTCATATTACTGTTGTTTAATGCATTGCAGAATCTGTCCAATTATTGCTTTTTTACTCCTTACTTTAAAATACCCAATTATGCGCTCATCAGGCGTGCGCAAAGGGTCACTTAAAATATCGTCGTCATTAAACACTAATTTTTCAAAGAAAGGTCCACAAGCTACTGTAATACTATTTACAAATCTTCTAGATTCCTCCTATGTAGGTGGCTGAAAAACAGAACTTGCTGACGTTTCGCCCATCATTATGTTTATTAGTTCAGTACAATTTCAGTTTCAGCTCCAAAGAAGCCAACAGGATGATTGGCGAAACCTCAGCAAGTTCAATTAATCAACAACCGACGCAGGAATTTATTAGTGCTGTTTGGCAAAAATATATGTTCATTGAAAAAGTATAGTATGCAACATAATGACAAACTTCTTCAAACACTCGCCAAAACTCGTGACTAAAGTGTGAATGTGTTTATCAAAATTGTAGCATATCTTTTACTATTAACTATAGAATATTTCATAAATACTACATATAAATAAATTTTGAATTGTATTCAGTTGTGGATAATTATAAAACTAATTCCAATAAGCAAAACCGACAGTTAAAAAAAAACTCATGTATTCCTGCAATCCTGCAACATGAATTGAATTTTCCTGCAATGTAAATAACACAATATGTGTAATTCCTCGATTTTGGTTTATCAGCACTAATCCAAGTGTATACAATGCTAATGTTGTTTGCACAGATTGTGCCTAATAATTTATTTTTTATCTTAATAGGGACTTGGAAAAAAGAGATACTTAATTGGAGAAATGAGCTAAACATAATTAACAGCTTGAAATATTTGCCCGTGTACCAAGTCGCAATAATTTCAAAATTTGACATTCTTGTTTTCAGTGGTGCTATTTGTTGTATGTAGAATATCTGCAAATTTATGTAATGATGAATAAAGGTTGTTCCAAAAAAAGGATGAGAATTCAATAAAAAAAAAACGAAATCACTCCTTTTATAAGGGGTTTGGGAAACACGACCAAAACTATAAAAAATGGTGGGAATGAAATTTTCATTAATGAAAGACTTTCAGATTTACAGAAATAAGCTTATTTTAGGCATTTTTAAATAAATTTTGAAAAGTTTCATCTTTTCTGAACAAAACTTGACTCCCAATTTGCATTACAACAAAGACCTTACTGAATCAATAATTATACAATGTGAATTTTATGAATGTAAAAAAATCAGTTTACCTTGCACTGACCATTTGGTCCTCCACCCGGATATTGTTGCAGTATTGGTGAATCCAGGGATAAATCAGGAACTCATCAACTTTTTTGCAAAAATTCAATACATGAAACGACACAATTAACATGAACAAATTGAATTCATTGCCTTGACATTTGAAGCCCCTCAGTGCTATTTCGAATGCTAACCGACCCAAACCAGCACCTGGTACCAACACTTCAACCTCGCCTCTATCACAACTGTCTTCAGGAAAATTCAACTCAATTTCTTCAATGATTGGGGAGTAACACTGTTGTCTTTCAGATGCTCCTTCAAGAGGACGGGCATTACCAAAACAATTTTTAAAATTACATAATTTTATGAAAAAAAAAAGCTAATCATGAAATTTAAAAATAACCAAAATAAGTGCAGGAAAGGAAAGAAATAAAAAAATGAATAAAATGAATAAAAAACAAAAAATGTTTCTAGAGGTCTGATGTTATTAAAAATTTGCTATTCATGTGTTAGTGAATGAATATTTTAAATATCTTAATTAAAAGTAAGGTTGATTAGCAACCCTGTTATATTAAATACATATTTATGGGATTATGGAATTCCTTATGATTTAGTCTAAATTCAACCTAAATATTTATCATTCTCAGAATAGGTTATAAAATGTTGATATAAATAAATTTAACAGCATTATGAAGAAATGCTTCTTGAGGATCCAATTATTACTGACTTATTACCTAATACCAATATCTCAATAACCATATATGGCACTTACCTAAGGAACTCCAATCTCTCATTAACTGTTTGAACACAGACTGGACTTTGTCAATCCCTTCTGATAAAGTGCCAACTTCATCAGTTGGTGCAGTCTCCATGCTTGAATAAACATTATCAAACATGTTGTAAGCATGTTGTAAAACCAAAGGTATAAATTCTGCATTTTTATCAATGCACTGTTTAAGTTTGTCGAGATCTTCTTGGTACTTTGCCAACCATTTCTTATGGTGATAAGGTAAAGTTGCTATACTGCATTCTTTGTTTTGAATCCTTTTTAATGATTGTTCCCTAGAACAATATTACGCTGATAAATTCAATAAAAAATATTACATTTTATTACAAACAAAGCTCTCAAGTTACCTGTAGCTTTTGAATGTGTTTATTACAGACAGAAAGTATGCTCGTTCTTCTGTGACACCATTATTCGATTCCATTGTTTTCTTCAAAACGTTTTCTTTGTTAATAAAATTGAAAAATTATTTGTTTTTCATGAGACTTTTATTGTTTCTATTTGGTTTTTTAGGTTAACTTAATTTTTAGCAATTAGGCAGGTCGACTTATAGGTCACAATAAACCAATTCGAACTGCGGCGTTGTCGAAGTAAATATATTGTGGATTACGTATATTATGAAAAAAGCTGTCATTCTACGGCCCTAAATACAAAATATATCTTTTCTTAAAAATGTTTAAAACAACGCCACAGAACAAAAAAAATATTCCACTGGGCAATTTTTTCCTCTTTTTTGCTTTCTATATCCTTTGTGACAGGATCGTTCGATCAAACAGAATAATTTAAAATTTTCACAGACAATGGATTAATGTTTCTTGTTTTTCTAGCCATCAGCTACAAAAAGCTTCACTTCCGAAAAAGTACCGAAAATGCCTGGAATCATTCAACTGAGAGACAATAATAGAATTTTATATTTGACAGGAATGATGATCTTAACCGTGGATGGTAAAGGCAATTTGTTTCGCCAGGATGCTGTAAGTTTCGCTGTTAATGAATTATATATCCTTTGAAAGACAAATTTCTATTCCAGAAGAATGCAACTAATTAAAGTATGATTATAATGAAATTAGAACGTCGCTTATTAAAAAACTTTTTTATAGCGGCCCTAGACCATACAGTGGGATGAGATTGAAAAATTTTAATGTAAACGTAAACAAAATAAAGGTCTATGGTTACAACGACATTGATTTTAGCATAGTTTCGAATGATGCTGATCTTGCTATTCTGTGGTTAGCAAATTCCTTGTCATATATATTTCTATGGTACCTTTTCCGCGGTTAGACTTTAATTTTATAAGAAAAATTGTTTGAATTAAAATAGCTATTTTAAAAAATATTAGAAGGTATGTGCACTGTTTATGTTGTTTAACTATTTTTCGTTGTTTTCATGTAATGGATGCAATTTCTGTTAAAATTTTATTTTAGGTTATCTACATTTAAATTTTTGGATAGTTTAAGTGCATATATTTTTAGATGTCTGGACGAGAGGGCGGAAAAAAGAAACCCCTTAAGCAGCCCAAAAAGGACAGCAAAGAGCTTGATGATGAGGATCTGGCTCTTAAGCAAAAACAGAAAGAACAACAAAAGGCCCTTCAAGAGGCTAAAGCAAAGGCGGCTCAGAAAGGACCGCTAGTTAGTGGCGGAATCAAAAAGTCCGGTAAAAAGTGACGAATGGTGAAATAACTGAAATATTTTTAACAAAATTTTTGTATATCCAAATAAATACATTTTTAACATTTCAAACTGTATAAATAAATGTTAATAAAATAAACGCCAACTTCGAAAAATAAGCTTTTTGCAGAATATAGTAGATCCCCAAGATTTATAATGCAAAACCATTTTAACTCGGCGCATTCGTCAATTTTAAGGATCAATGCTTTACCATAGATCAACAACAAATGCTTCCAGGCGAACGTCAGTTCTTCGATAACTGGGTCAGTCACAGAACATAAAAATTACCACTCGAACGAATTGTTAATAGAGGACAAAACACTACCGAACGCGCAACAACGCATGAGCCCATCTGGTTTTCCGTTTGACAAACAGCTGACCAGTCTTGGGTGAACCTGTGACGACAGTTGTTTGTAGGCGGGAGTGTGCAAGATTTTTAGAGCTTTGTCTAAAGAAAGTGTCTTTCTAAACCATTATGTTTGCGAAAAGAATGAAAAACTTTGAAACCAGTGCGGTTATATAGCATATGCGTACGTCGGTGTTAAAATTACAGCACGACAATAAGGTAATTGTTCAATTTAACAGTTTTTTGTACCCCGAGACCTGGGCCTGGGTGCCATTTTGTCTATGCGTTTCGGAGCGAATCAAAACAGCTGAGTTCAAACAATCGAATCGTGCGGTGGAAACCTGAATCCTTTGTTGTACTGTTCGACTTTAGTCTGATATTGATAAATAAATTAGATCGTTACTCTGTCATTGGCGTCGTCTGTACTTATGCTCATTTGAAAGTAATGAGTTTTTGCGTTCTTATTAAATAACAATTAATCATCAGCTTAGATTTTATCGCGTCGCAACGTGGAATTTGGTAAAGACGCTGTACACTTGTTTTATAAACTGTGCCTTTTTAAAAATAATCTTTGTTTTTATTATGAAAAAGTCACACTACAAAGATCAAAACATCTTACTATTGAACTAAAGGTGTTTTAGTATTGTATGTAATTTTTACTGTTTTGTGAATGTACAATTTTACATTCACTCGATTGACTCAGAAATAAGACAAGTAAAAAGGAAATACGTATTTATTTATTTGAATTTGGAACCTTTGAAATATTAAAAAATTAAACTTCTTTAGTATAGATTTCACTGTTCGTCAAAAACAGCTGATAATTCCGTGTTCATTTAACATTGTTGCCGAATTGGGCAGTAGTTCAACTTTGCATCATGAATCGAATTGGTAAAATCTGGGAATCTATTTAATCTAATAATCAAATAGCTTTTTGATTATCATTCCTGCTAAATGTAACTAGTGGTTATTAAGTGGATTGGTCACATTATAACTATTTAACAGAAATTTGAACATTCTCCTTTGAGCTAGTAGACTTACCAAGGTAATTAAGTTGTTTAGGATAATTTCAATAACTATGGAGTTTCATGGCATATTATTTATATTTTTACGTCTAATTATTGGCGGTTTATAGTCGATATTATATTTATTCATATTTGATATTATATAGTTAGTTTTTTAAATTGGAACACTCTGTTGTAGAATTTCTTAAAAACAAATGTAAAGAGGTGGGTGCCACTTAAAAGTCCGGATTAAACTTAAATATATATTTATATATATATATATATATATATATATATATATATATATATATATATATATATATATATATATATATATATATATATATATATATATATGTGTGTGTTATAATTGTTATATAAATAAATTTATTTTTTTGAAGTGCTAATAAAATTAGAGAAAGTAATTGCACTTGGACAAAGGAAAACAAAATGTTCCGAGGTAAAAATGGTAAGTTAAGGGTTTAATTTAAAAACCATGGATTTGATTCTCGATTTATGCTATCCAAAATAATGAGGAAGATTTAAACAGCTTCGAAACCTTTATCCTGAAGAAACTTTACCAAAGTGGTGCTGGTTTCCCCCTCAAAAATATGTATACCCAATAAACGTAAAGCTCCATTGTCTTGACGCAAATTAAAATCACCCTGTGTAGTATTCCTCGTCACGTGGATCGAAACGAAAATGACAAAAGTGGTATCACCGCCGGTATACGAGTGAAAGTAGAATTATTGGTATTATGTTATAGCGCTTGTGTTCCCAACATTATGTCTTAATTACGCAAAAAAATAACTTTCTAATTTAATTCGGTAGTATAGCCATTTGTTGAGGTATTGTTTTTACCGATTCAGGGTTAACGATTTAGAGCAGTAATTATTGTAATTCCTGTATTACGTCACAATATTATTATGAGCTCGTTAGAACGAGAAAGTGTTAGCGTAAATGCACGTTTTTCCATTCATTGTGCATATTGCAAGAAACTGGATTGCTGTTTTTCATTACCTATAGAAAAAAAAACATTTTTCCCATTTCACATAAATCGCGGTATTGTTTAGGTTCTATTAGAGAAACCGCGCTTCGATATATAGATTGAAGGCTAACCTAGTCTATATAAATCATAAATCCAGTAATTAAATATTCTGCAAGGGATATGGTTCTCGGACCAACGCGAACATTAGATCCTGAACTGGTATTTTATATGCGAAGATTTTAAGTTTGTTCTCACAGCCAATTTCGAATACTTTTTTGATTGTTTCCCAGCTAGCGGTCAAGCGCAGGTGTAAAATAATTCCATTTATCGTTGTCGTATGATGTGGATTGCCTATAAGGTGCTGGCTTCACAAAGTAAAAACCGTTCGGAAATAGATATTGTTTGTTAACTACACCGTTCCAATAAACTGCAGCAGAAGCGCTAAGTATTTTATGTGCAGCAAGAAAGAATTACCAGTAGTAAATTAAGAATTTGTACTTTCATAATATTTTGTTTATGGATTAGGTGTAACTTTTTCGTCGAAAATTTGTTCTAAAAGAAAAAAAAAGTTTCGTAGGATTTTAAAAAACCTGGTAATGATAACTAGTGTAAATATATGAAAACTTAAAATATTAACGTAGTATTCATTGTGGGAACAATATAAACAAAATAACATTAAATTATTCTACAAGAAACTCACAATGTTAAGTCCTCATTAGTATTGCCAACTGTAAACATCATGGTATTGTTAAATCTCTACACATTTTATCCAACGGTTTTGGCATTGGACAGACGACTAACTAGTAATTGTGCAACTATACCCGAAATGTTGTGTAACTGTTGATATAACATACAACTAGAATTTCTTGTGGTACATTTTCAACTTAACAATTAAATGGCATTATTAACGATAATTTTCAAATGACAAACGTTCGCAGCGTTTCTTTTGCATTTATAGTGTAAGCAATTTTCCACAATAAGTCTAGAAGTAAGTTGTCGTAACGCCATTAATTTTGATCCAATTAAGTAAAAAAATACTACCCACTTTGTTTTCCTACGCCGGTTATAGTTAAAATAGATTAATTGAATACAAGAGTTATAGTTTAATTAGTGGTGCACAGTAAAATTGCAGATTTCTGGAGCGAAATTTAGTTTAGTCCATACGTTGATCCCGAACTAACATCAATCCATTTATTTGTAACTACCAGATTATCATTACCTTTAGAAACCATAAATACATTTTATAAATCCAAAGAATATATTGCCGTTACGGCTATAAAAGCCACCTACAGTGTTTATGAACACAAAAGAAAAACTCGCATCCTTTTTTTTCAAGTTTTTTTTTTATCATTTGTTTACAATATATTTTATTTCGTGTCCTTGTCATTGCATTTTGAGAGTATTGGGACTTAATTTGGCACAAATATTTTTTCGAATAATTTAAATTTAACCGCGACCCTTTTAACCCTTTCTAAAACTAAAGCGCATTCGTTTCAAGCATTTTAAAATATAATTTTGGTAAAAACCAGAAACTTGCAATTAAAATGCGGATCATTTTTTAATAGTAAATTTGTTCTTCAAGTTCAAGAATTGCTTAAAACGCGATAGTCTTCCTTTTTATGAAGGCATACGATGGCCGCCATATAAAAGGACCAGCTTCACCAGCTAAAAATGAATAGTTTTATATGAGCTTTCGAGTAATATTAAACACCTTCGAAATTTTTAAATGGGTCTTATAGCTCTTATGATAAAACTTAAGATGATTTTGGAATACTTGTAGCTTTATGAGTGAACAACAAGATATGTCAGTTAACCAATCATCTCAGGTTCCAGTTGTTTATATATTTGTTCTTGAAGAAGCGAGCTTAGGTTTTTTTTTATACATATCTGAATAAAGTTTATAATTAAACGAATTATGTTTTTTATAATTGTGTAAACCGACAACGTTGTAAAAACAGTAGTAGCTGTAAAAAAAGTGTTGTAACAAGTTTTTTTAGGAACTCTATCAAACCTCAAGTAACCAACACGAAAGGTTTTATAAAGTAACGGACCCGTTTTAGGTGCTATATCGTAAAACTTAAAGTGTTTTGGTATTTATTGGACGTCTTACACAACTTAAAATATTCTTTTCCTATAAAATTATAAAAAATGTTATAAAAGGTAAGGTCTGGGCGGTACTTCGGTATTTCGATTAAATAAAATCCACCATACCATGTACTTTGGCGTATTAGTTTAAATAAAATCAGTAAATATCATTTTTCTCATAAACTTTAGCCATAAAGGTATATCCTGCAAATAATGCTCCGTTATAAACAATTTTTCATAGCAGTATGTAAAAAAAGTAAAAGTTTCATTTAAAATAAAGTAGAAAAATTATAAATTAACTTTTTCTTGACACCTTAGTCTGTATTTTTGGACTAAAATAAATTGGTTCAAATCTTAATATTTATACCCAAGGAATGTACAGTTTTATTGAGCACCAGGGATCTCTGTTTAGTCGAAACAAGAACGGTTATGAGTTTGATAATATATAATTTTGCAACGCTTAAATTTTGGAAAATATTGTAATATTATTTCGATTTTTCAGAAAGTTAGGGAACATTTTAACCTAAACAATATTATTTTTAAAATGTTAAATTTGTGCTCTTCGTAGAGATTTGGTAATATTTATTTATTTTATTCTTGCTTTTTAAATAAAATTAGAGTCCATTATTACTGAGAATTACCATTAAGCGTGATATTAAATAATATCGCGGTGACCCATCAGTATTGAGCATTTTATAGTTTATATAGTTATTTTGGCATACTTATTCACGGCAATTAGGGGGCTTATTTTCTTTTAATTGCCAATAACAAACGTCGTAATTTTCATAATTCGCATTCAGACTTTTGCGGTAGTGCTAAACAATGTTTAACAGTAGATCTCTTAACTGTAACATTAACAGTATCTATATGCTAGCAATAAATCAATTAGTTAATTAAGGGCAGCTATGTATATGTATTGATAATTTTAAATAATAAAGCTCCAGATTCCTCTCTAGGTTTAGCTTATGCATAAAAAAGAAAAAAAAACATTGAACTGAGGTGGCTTTTACTTGATGAAAATCCATTTATCAAAATATCATTTATCATTTGATAAAGACACGGTGTTGTCGAAACAATTGTCATGTCAAAATATATAATTTCGTGAAAGTCTGAACTTTTAGTTCTTATATATTTTGGAAAAAACA